TGTGACATTACGATGGCTGCGATGTCCACTAGGCAACAGGAATTTTCAGATCCAGTATAATCTTACTGGCCTGCCACTGTGTATGGAGTCTGTCGTTGACCAAAGCGTTATGTGGTACATAACTGTGTTTATGTAGTATTTACCTTGTATTAGGTATTAAAAGTAATTTGGAGATGATTTAAAGTATACGGAAGGATGTAGAATACTATACCATTTTATATAAGGGACTTGAGTGTCCTTGGATTTTGGTATTCTTGGGTGGGTCCTAGAACCAATCCTGTTGGATAATTAGGGATGACTATAATTTCTGATCCCAGGAGGGATAGCATAGGAGCTAGTCAGACTCAGGGGATGAGGGAAGTTATCGTATTTCTAATTCCCAGGAAAAGCACTTGACCTGTCCTTGTGCCTTTGGCCTAGCCAGTGTACATGCCAGCCTCAGGGTGATCATTCCACTTTTTCCTCTCTCCCATCTCTCGGACAGCTCAAAAAGTTTCCAAGAAGACAGGGCCTCGGTGTTCCACAGCTGTTGCCACAGGTAATAGTGCTTAAGAGCTGGGGCTGAGAAGGGATTTGGGGTATATGTAAAGGGAGAATGATGGAGGTGGAGGGACACTGGCCCATGTAATTCCTAAGTCAACTCCCCATTTCTCTAGTGGTGAAGAACCAGAAGCCAGTCCCTGCTGTTGCTGTCCAGAAGCCTGGCGGTAGGTGCCAAACGTAACCCTGGGTGAGAGGCTGGGATAGGCAAGAGGAGGTGGTGAGTACCCAGAAAAATCCATGTATTTTCTCCAGAAAAAACTATAAAAAAAAAAAAATCCATGTCGTCTCTTCCCTGTCTGGAGTGGAAGGAGACAGACATAGCGTCAGGTATGGAGGCCTTAAAGGCCAGAAGGGAGGAGGGGTAGAGGGCCAGGACTTCACTGACCTCTGTCCTTCCTGTGCCCATCTTAGCATCAGCTGTTCCTCCCATGATGGGAGGGAAGAAACCCAGCAAACGTCCGTCCTGGGACTTAAAGGGTCAGTTATGTGACCTAAATGCAGAGCTGAAATGCTGTCGTGAGAGGACTCAAACACTGGCCCAGGAGAACCAGCAGCTGCGGCACCAGCTCACAGATGCCCAACAAGAGGCCAAGACCCTGGGGATAGAGTGTGGGACACTGGAAGGGGAGTTGGCCAGGGTACGGGCCCGGGCTGAGCAGGGCCAGCAGGAGCTGAAGAACCTCAGTGCCCGTGTCCTGGAGCTGGAAGCACAACTGGGCATGCAGGAGGGCTTGGTTCTGGAGCTCCAGAAAGAACGGTTGGCATTGCAGGAGAAGCGGAGGCAACTGGCCTCCCGACTGGAGGAGCAAGAGGTAAGGGCCAAACTCTCATCAAATGGCCAGCCCCTCTTTCCCAGCAGAGCTCGTGCCTCCCCTCTCTCCCAGGTGCCCCCGAAGTCTTTTTGGGCTGAGAACCCCTGACCACCTATTTCCAGCAGTATCCCTCTGTCCTCTACGCATCTCTCCCCTAGCCTACTCCTGACTATATTGCTTTCTGTCACACTTTTCGCTACCCTTGACTCTTTGAATAGCTCCCACATGGATCCATGTCTTCCCCTAGTCCT